TGTGGTGATGACATGTTGTTTACATACCGAGTAACTTGTGGTGATGACATGTTGTTTACATACCCAGTGACTTGTGGTGATGACATGTTGTTTACATACCCAGTAACTTGTGGTGATGGTATGTTGTTTACATACCGAGTAACTTGTGGTGATGACATGTTGTTTACATACCGAGTAACTTGTGGTGATGACATGTTGTTTACATACCCAGTGACTTGTGGTGATGACATGTTGTTTACATACCCAGTGACTTGTGGTGATGACATGTTGTTTACATACCGAGTAACTTGTGGTGATGACATGTTGTTTACATACCCAGTGACTTGTGGTGATGACATGTTGTTTACATACCCAGTGACTTGTGGTGATGATACGTATTAGTCAACAATAACTGGTGTCACGTTATATGCCAGAGAATTGTGTTATATCCAGTAAAATATTAAGGTGTTCGCGCATATATTCTTCAAGGTTGAATGATTTTTCCTAATGTCGTTGATTTTCCTTCGTAACTGATGTAAGATATAATGTATATTTATTTAAAATGTTTAATCGTCATGCCAAGTTCACATTTGATCATCGTGTTCATAGATAGTGCAGGTATACAGTGTACTTAGGGCAGGTATACAGTGTACTTAGGGCAGGTATACAGTGTACTTTGGGCAGGTATGCAGTGTACTTTGGGCAGGTATGCAGTGTACTTTGGGCAGGTATATAGTGTACTTAGGGCAGGTATACAGTGTACTTAGGGCAGGTATACAGTGTACTTTGGGCAGGTATGCAGTGTACTTTGGGCAGGTATACAGTGTACTTAGGGCAGGTATATAGTGTACTTAGGGCAGGTATACAGTGTACTTAGGGCAGGTATACAGTGTACTTTGGGCAGGTATGCAGTGTACTTTGGGCAGGTATGCAGTGTACTTTGGGCAGGTATGCAGTGTACTTTGGGCAGGTATACAGTGTACTTAGGGCAGGTATACAGTGTACTTAGGGCAGGTATACAGTGTACTTAGGGCAGGTATACAGTGTACTTAGGGCTTTGGGCAGGTATGCACAGTGTACTTTGGGCAGGTATGCAGTGTACTTTGGGCAGGTATACAGTGTAGGGCATTAACAGGGTATACAGTGTAGGGCATGTATGCAGTGTGCTTAGACAGGGGCTGGTATACAGTGTACTGGGCATGTATACAGTGTGCTAGACAGGGCTGGTATACAGTGTACTTCAGAATGTATACAGTGTACTTAGGGCAGGTATACAGTGTACTTAGGACATGTATATAGTGTACTTAGGGCAGGTATACAGTGTACTTAGGGCAGATATACAGTGTACTTTGGGCAGGTATACAGTGTACTTAGGACATGTATATAGTGTACTTAGGGCAGGTATACAGTGTACTTAGGGCAGATATACAGTGTACTTAGGGCAGGTATACAGTGTACTTAGGGCAGGTATACAGTGTACTTAGGGCAGGTATACAGTGTACTTAGGGCAGGTATACAGTGTACTTTGGGCAGGTATGCAGTGTACTTTGGGCAGGTATACAGTGTGCTTGGGGTACTTAGGGCAGGTATACAGTATACTTAGGGCAGGTATACAGTGTAATTATGGGCAGGTATAGGGCAGTATACAGTAGGGCAGTGTGGGGCAGGTATACAGTGCTGCAGGTATGCAGTGTACTTTGGGCAGGTATACAGTGTGCTTAGGGCAGGTATACAGTGTGAGGGCAGGTATACAGTGTACTTAGGGCAGGTATACAGTGTGCTTTGGGTATGCAGTGTACTTTGGGCAGGTATGCAGTGTACTTTGGGCAGGTATACAGTGTACTTAGGGCATGTATACAGTGTACTTAGGGCAGGTATACAGTGTACTTAGGGCATGTATACAATGCACTTAGACAGGGCAGGTATACAGTGTACTTAGGGCATGTATACAGTGTACTTAGACAGGGCTGGTATACAGTGTACTTCGGGAATGTATACAGTGTACTTAGGGCAGGTATACAGTGTACTTAGGACATGTATACAGTGTACTTAGGGCAGGTATACAGTGTACTTAGGGCAGGTATACAGTGTACTTAGGGCATGTATACAGTGTACTTAGGGCAGGTATACAGTGTACTTAGGGCATGTATACAGTGTACTTAGACAGGGCAGGTATGAAAGACACCAATGGAAATGAGCTTTTAATTGCCTTATTGACCTGTAACTGGATGAATCGACCTACTGTTTGTATGCCCACACTGCCACTCTACTTGCTGAACCAATATGTTTTTTTATGATTTTTTTGTGAATAAATGTAACTTCGCCTTACAATTTATCGAGGTTTGGTGTGAGTGTATATTATACGAGTGTAGGACAAAAGCCCCCGGACCAATAGCCCCCTTTGGACAAAATCGCCCTAGGACAAACGCTCTCAAGGACAAAAGCCCACTTCCCTGACATGTAAAATATTACATTTATTATATCATACGACTGCAATACCTAACCTAACTTAAGCTGACCTATTTTTCTCATTAACTGAGGGGTTTTGTCCGGGGGGCTTATGTTTGTCCTAGGGGGCTTTTGTCCGGACCCCATATCATACTGTGTAATGGTGTAGAGGCGGGTAACCGAGTGTGTTGTTATTCCATTTTCTTTCGTGGATGGTGAGTGTTTTCAGGAGATACTTCCCGAAGTTGTACTCAGTTGTCTAAACCTCATCTTGTTTGGTCGAGTTCGGGATCATATATTTGTCGTGTGTGTGTGTGTGTGTGTGTGTATGTGTGTGTGTGTGTGTGTGTGTGTGTGTGTGAACTGCGAAATATTACAAGGAGGTTAAACTAAGGTGCAGCTCTGCCTTACATGGGTCTCTCAAATAAGTTCGACAAACAATCCTTTCCTTGGGGAGTGAATTCTCAAACATATTCTCAGCCATTATTTGTACAGTTCGTTATCTAGTGCGTATTAAAACACTTAAGACACATTAGCCCTTTTTTTCTCCTGTATAGATGGAAGTTTACGCCCAGGCAAGCAATCGTCACTCACTATGCCATGTTTATCCATCGTCCGGAAACTTCTTCAGTCTTCCACTTAACTATTGTCCTTTTCTTTGAAGTCTTCCCCTCAACCACTTTCATTTTCAATGTACAATTATTAAACCAACTGCACAGGGGGTAGGTCGGGACGGCTGCACCAACTAGCAGTGGGTGCTGACGTTTGGATCCTCCTTGCCCCTCATTGGCCAACATCTGATAATCTAGTTGTGACGTCACGCTTGAGTGTACATTTGTGTTTTTGTGAGTCATATAACACCTATGGTCGCCTCAACAACCACAGTATAATGTTATGGTGTTTAATGTAATGTAGTGGCGTGATTTAATGGTATAAGGGTAGAGGCATGGTGGCAGTAGTAGAGGTCAGTAAGGGATTCGACTACTGTACTGTCGTCTGTTGAAGCTGTACTGTATATGAGAATGAATTCATTCATGATATCACAGGGTGTATAGAGACGCTTTTACCTGACTGTAATAATAATGATAATTAAAAAAAAATCATAATAATAATAATAAACACTACTCATTACAAATATATAAAATAATAATGAAAACCTCGTCTCATTCTATTACCCATATAAATATTTATTGTATTTTCTCACTTAACGGCCGCCTTTATAATTATAATAATCTTTGGATTTATGTCACGTTTAAATTGAGTATCTACGCATGTCTGATTTTATTATATTATATTTTTTGAATTATCAATGTATAAGTAACAAGATTTGATACTTATAACCATGTTTTTACAGGAAGATATTGCTTGAGTATATTTCAATTCCCCTAGATAATAATAATAATAATAATAATAATAATAATAATAAAAATAATAATAATAATAATAATAATAATAATAATAGTTTTAATTCCCATGTGATAATTGTAATAATAATGACAACTTATTATTGAAAGGTTGAATCAAATAATGAAGGAGACATTTTACTTTATTTAGACAGTGTTGTAGCCTGTGTTATGGTTCTATTGCAATAATATACTGAGCTTGATATATATGGGGGTGTAGTACAGTATGAGTGTATCAGTGTAGTGTGGTAGTGTAGTGTATCAGTGTAGTGTCGTGTGGTGAGTGGTAGTATAGTGTAGTGTGGTAGTGTAGTGTATCAGTGTAGTGTCGTGTGGTGAGTGGTAGTATAGTGTAGTGTGGTGTGTGAGTGTAGTGAGTGGTAGCGTAGTGTGTCAGTGTCTTTTGTAGTCAGTTAATGTTTGGAAGTGTATAATTGTTAGTGCAGGAGGATATGAGGAAGTGTGTTTAATTATTTGTGTGGGGGGAGTGTGTGTGGGGGTGTGGGGTGTGGGGGTGTGGGGGTGTGGGGGGGTGTGGGGGTGTGGGGGGTGTGGGGGTGTGGGGGGGTGTGGGGGTGTGGGGAGTGGGGTGGGGTGTGGGGGTGTGGGGGGTGTGGGGGGTGATGGGGTGTGGGGGGGGGGGAGTGTGGGGGGGATGTGGTGTGGGAGTGGGGGTGTGGGGGTGTGGGGGGTGTGGGGAGTGGGGAGTGTGTGGAGGTGGGGTGTGGTGGGGGTGGGGAGTGTGGGGGTGTGGGAGGTGTGTGGGGGTGTGGGGGTGTGGGGGTGGGGGGTGTGAGGGGTGGGGGTGTTTGGGGTGTGGGGGTGTGGGGAGTGGGGGGTGTGGGGGTGTGTGTGGGGGTGTGGTGGGGGTGTGGGGTGTGGGGGGAGTGTGGGGGTGTGAGTGGGGGGTGGGAGTGTGGGGGGGTGTGGGGAGTGTGGGGGTGTGAGGGGGGTGTGGGGGGTGTGGGGGTGTGGGGGAGTGGGGTGGGGATGTGGGGTGTGGGGGTGAGTGTGGTGTGTGGGGGTGTGGGGTGGGGGAGTGTGTAGTGTGAGTGTGGGGGTATAAAGGAGTGTGAGAGGTGAGGAGGCATAAAAGAGTGTGTGGGGAAGTGTGTGGGGTGTGGGGGAGCAGTTGGTAGAGGAGAGAGTAACGTCCATGTTGTGTTTCAGGAGTGAGTGGGGTCGCCTGGCCGCGCGCTGCTACTTATATCAGAGTGGAGGGCCACGTTGGAGGGCTGGTTTAGTTACAAGTGGCAGGTGTGACACAGGTGTGTGAGGCAGCACAGGTGTGGGGGTCGTCATGAGTGGCGGGGCGGCCCGTCATGGCAGCGCCACAACAACATACACTGACTAACACCTCTACCATCGTTGCCTCTCCTGCCGTCCTCGCTGCTGCCTCCGTCAATACCACCTCCTCAGCCTCCGCCGACACCTATGGTAGCGGTCACCACGCGTCCTGTGACGAGGTGTATAGCCGACTGAGTGGTGTGGGTGTGGGCGGCCTCAATCCGCCCACCACCCCCGCCCACTACCCACCTCTCCCTGCTTCACGTCGCCTGCGTCCCTGCTCCCTGTGTGGCACTGCCGCCCTGCGTCCACACACCCCCATCGTGCCCACCTCCCCCGTAGGAGCCCTTGAACAGCCAGTTGTTCTCCTACACCGCCTAGAGGACGGCCTCCCCCAGGGTGACGTGAACAGTCTCCGCGCTTACGGCACCATCCGTCTGCTACCTGTCCACAGCCCCACACATAATGCCACCTCAGAGGATGACAGGAGTGATCAAGACGGTGACAGTAATGAGCGACCGGTGAACCATGCCATGGCGCACCCCAAACACACCGATGACGCAGGTAAACACGAGGACACGAGTAGCAGCGCTCACTACGCCAGCTGGACGTGCAGTAACGGTGAACACTCGCTCAGTGACGAGCATAGTGTAGGTGAAGTGCCTCTTGGTGCCAAGTTAGTGTGTACAGAGCTGCATAATGCAGTAGCAATAAAAAGTGTTGTTAATGTGATAGAAAACGAAAGTGAGGCTGACAGTGACGAGCCTTTTATAGGTATAAGAATACACAGTGTTGTGTCGGAGAAAGACTTAAACATTGAGGGAATATACCAACAGGAGGGCCATGTCGGTGACAGGGGTGAGAGCCACGCCACCCCGGAGACTACCAGTGTGTATCCCGAATGTCACCCCAGGTCCCCCACCTCCCCTTCCTCTCACACTCACTCCTCAGCTGCCCCCTGCCTATCTTCTTGTTCTTCGTCCTGCTCCATACACCACCACCCGCCCTCACTCCCACCCCCTCCCTTACCAACCACTCCACCACCCTCACACCCCGCCGCATCAACTCCAACCACCACGTGTTGTAACCCTTCATCCACGAATCCATCCTTGCCATCCACTGCACTCTCAACCACACACACGAATCCATCAACCCCAGAACATAACCCAACAGCCAACCACCACAACCCAACAACCACGCCAACCTCCCCGACAATCTCTGGTCTCTCGAGTCCCACCACAAGTCACCCCCATCCCTCAACTTCCTCCTCCCCATTCACCCCCATGTCACTGGTTCTCTCATCCCCCGTACAACCCCTTCCCTCATCCTCGCCCAGTGCTCCCCTCGCATCCTCTCACGCCCACACACATCCCCCGGCCTCCCCATCCTCTCCATCTGTCTTCTCACCCGCGGACTCCCCACCTTCATCCTTACCTTCTCCAGTCCATCCCTCGAATTCAGTAGACACTACTATTCTGCCTCCCTCCTCCCCATACTCTCCCATGACTCGACCTTCTTCCCCGACGTCCCCAGCCTCCCTGCCCTCCCGTGCCGACTCTCCTCCATCTCCCACACTGTCTGTCGAGTCTCCTCCTGCGTCGCCCGTCCCTTCCCCGGGTCTGGCCAGTCACGAGGCTCAGCATGCATCCCCACATGTGCTTACTGAACTCGCTAAGGCCTCACCACTCGAGGTCGGGGACTTGCCCAACTCTCAGGTCGAACTATGGGATAAAAGACAAATGGAATGTTGCCAAGTCGAGCCACCAGTAGAAGCTGAAGTCGAACCTGTGGGGGGCACTGTTGTTCAGACGTCAGTATGTGCAAACATCAGTCCCCTGGTGGATACTCAGGACGAACTGCCAGCAGACACTCAAGTCAACCCGTCAGGAGACACTCAGGTCGAATCCTCGGAGGACACTCAGACAGAGGCATCGTTGGGTGAGGGCGAAACTCAGGTGGAGTCATGTGAGAGCACTCAGGTAGACGATGTGTCTGAACCTGAGCAAGGTGAGGCTGAGGACCAGCAACTAGCACGAGAAGTGAGTAGTTATTGTGAACGTGTGAGTGAGGAGAATAACCCCGACATGGGACCAATGAAAATAAAGTTCAGGTTAAGACAGAAGGTGGACAGCCACCCATCTCTTGGTGCAGAGAAAAAAGAGTGCAATAAAGAAAACGGTATTCCAAAGATTGTGTTAACTCTGAAGGGTAATGGACCCAATAAGGAGTACTCTTGCTCAAATAGGTTAAGAAGTGAGGACCAAAGCTTTTCGGGTGTAACTGTTAATAACAAAAAACACAAATCAAAGAAAGATAAAAAACAAAAATTAAAAGATAAAGAAAAAACCAAGAAAAGCCTCAGGGGGAACAAACACAAAAGACAGCTTGAGTTGTTTGGTGAAGACAGCAATGACTCGTGTGACATCATCAGTAACAAGTGCAATGGGCTGAATGGTCAAAACGAAGACCATCACAAGAGCGAGGTTGATAGTCAAAAGAGTCTTCACCTGCCCCTGGCCTTCCCGACACTGGGTGAGTCCCCTGAGCGTAGTGATGACGATTTCCTTCCTTTACCCCCAAAAAGGGAGTCTTATGCCTTTAGCGTCAAAGTCGAGAGAGTTTGTAAAAAAATAAAACATAGTTCTACTAGTGATTCCCTGGATGACTCATTATCAGATTCTTTGCCAGATTTGGATCCTCTCCCTGCTGCTCCTGAGGACGTTGAGGGCCTCGCGAGTCACGACAAGAAGGTGGAGAAGAGTGTCCAGGAGTCTAAGCATAAGGTGGTGGCGGAGAAACACCAGGAGACCACAACACAACAAGATCTGGACCTCCCTAACACCATCACCTGTGTTAAGACTTCGCAGGAGGACACCAACACCAGCCAACACAGTGTAGAGAATCAGGACGAGATGCAGGAAGTTACTGAGAGTTCCACCTGTCAACACGCCTCTAAGGAAATTCCTGAGACGTCAACCAGTCAACCAGATCTGGAGAAAATGGCTGAGAAATCAATCAATCAGCCAGGTACTGAGAAAACTCATGAGAAATCCACCCTTCAAAAAAGTCTTGAGAAGATAGCTAAGAGATCAATCAGTCAGTCAGGTCCTGAGAAATACAACCGTCATACAAGTCATGAGAAAATTTCTAAGAAATCAACCACTCAACAAGGTACTGAGAAAATTACCGAGAAATCCACCAGTCAACCAGGTCCTGATCCTTGTGAGAACACTCGAGGGTCAACCTTAAGAAGTCGACGAGAAAGGATCGTGAAGAATACCAAGTCAGACAGGGATTCTGATCGGTGCTTGTGGGTGAGTTTTGGTGTTGATGGTCCAGTGCCGCTCCCCACCAGTGACATGCCCAGCCTAGAACCCATCCTCGATAATGGTGACAATGCCAAGGCCTCTAAGGCGAGTGACGGTCACCTTGATCCTGCCTCGTCGCATCCAACAGAGAAATCAACACGTGATGTGGAGAAGTGTAGAAGAGACAGAAACTCTCAGGTAGTGGCCACTCGTAAAAGTCAAGGGGGGAAAAATTCTGAGGCCAAGTTAGAGAAATCAGTGAATGCAGTTGACTGTGTTGTTGAAGAGAAGGATTATAATGAAAGACATAAACGGTGTTTGTCCAGTCAATCACAGTTAAATAATCGTGAAGTCAAGGATTCGTCTCTCGGGAGGAAGCATATGAGAGTTGAGCAGACACATCGGAAGTCGTCAATTCACAGGACTAAGGAATGTGATGCTAGATTAAGACCGACAGATAAACTGGGTGGGTCACGGTCAAAGCGATCGTCCAGATCGTCGACTCAGGAACGTAAAGAAATGGTGGAGGGTAGTGGAGCCAAGGCCACACCTGCTGAGACTGTTGCGAAAGGTGACGACATCGCTAGTCAGGAACACGGTACCAATACCTCAATTAATGATGCCAGTAAAAATGAAAAGACAGAGAGTTTAGCGAGTGATGGTGCCGAGAGGGATGAAGTGGCAGGAGAGGAGACACACAGTCACAGCGAGGAACTGAAGCCTCCTGAAGGTAATGCCACCTCGCTTGGTGTCACTTCGTCATCTGACGAGCCTGGTGGTTCTCATACTAATGAAGAGCAGCCAAGCAGTTCAGACAATGCTCAGAAACATTTGGAATCTCCAGACAAACCTGGAGCCATGGAAGGTGAAGATGACAGCCAGTATTACCGACCCAAGAAAATACGAAGAATGAGTGATACAAAATTATCCAGAGAGAATGTGAGTGATAACGCTTCTTCTGTCGATCTTCAAGATCCAAGGACGTCTTGGTTGGTCGTCTCAGAGACCGATAAATACCTATCAAAAGAGAGGAATCTCAGCGTTAACGAAAACCAAGTTTGTGCCAAGAGTATCACTGCTCCTGACGCCACTCCTTCAGAAGCACATGTGATGAACTCTCCTGGCATAGGATCTAGTGCTTCCAAAGTCACCTCTGACACGTCTGAAGTGGAAATGGATACGCAAGAGATAGTGCCTGAAGGTGTGTCGCAGAGAGACGACCTGGCAAAGACGTGTTCCTCAGTCTCTCAGGACTCTTCGGGTGACAGAGGCCAGAAGAAACGAAAGCCACGGTCCAGGACGTATTTGAAACAGAACTCAAAAGTTGGGTCACAGGAAGACTGTGGTGACGATGTCTCCTCCCCCCTGAGAGGTGAGGACAAAGAGGAGGGAACCTCGGATAAGCTGGACAGTGCATCAAGAGAAGACAGTATGTCGTCCAAGGAAGATGTTCAGAGCCAAGAGACACCACAGAAAGACGAAAAGGAAAAGAAGAGAAAAACAAGGAAAGAGAAGAAGAAGAACGGTTCAGGTAAGTTCTTGTTGTATGTTCACTTAACACTAACATTGTCAGCACTTTGCAGTCACCAAGAATATTGAGTGTTGTTACTGGTTATTACAAGATCACCGTTAACTAGTGTCTTGTGATATCCTTAACTCTCACTTTCAGCTTGATCAATTTTTCCTAATACTAAAATAATGATATCAAGTCTCACTACAAAGTCGGTGTAAATCGTGAACTTGTTATGATAATGAACTGACCCACTATTATTTGGAGTCTTTGGATATTTCCATTTAAGCTCTCAACCAGTTCATTGGCTCCAGTTTCAATGTAACAGTTTCCAGTTTTACTCCGACCGGCTTAATCGGCCTAACTGTTGCTTACTATAAGGCTGTGACTATAACTGTACGTGATTAATATGATTGATCTACCTACTTAATATATCAAATGATTTCATAATCCATGTAGACTGTAAACAATACTAGCTTCTTGTATTGACGTGTGTAATTATTTTCAGATTCCGACAGTGATTCACGTAGCCAAGGTATAGCTAATTTACATAGCTCTTATGTATAGCCTGTTACTGTTCTTAATTATTGATTTTGGCTTCTCTTGGCTTGTTGCGTTTGTAGACAAGTGCTTAATATCTGCAAGGCCGTGAGGTATGTTGCAGCGATGTGTGTGTCACGTTTTTCAGTACAATAACTCTTGACGTAATGTTAACTTTACACGTTAATTTTATGAGTTAATTTCAAATGCGTTAATGGTGTTAAAGTTGTAAGAATTTACCTAAGATGTGTAGATGTAATTTATTCAACCTAGTCTGACCTATCCAGGCTACCCTAACTAACCTAATCTCTTTTCCTAACTTAATCTAACCCAGCCTCTTATCCTATCCTATTCTATGCTAACCTAACCATGCAGTTCCAACTTACTTCAAATTCCCTTTTTTATATTTTACAATTAATTCGTCTTAGACAATTAAGATTACCTTTAAAAGAGTTCATTGTACTGAATGACATTTTAGGATGGTCTTTAGTGAGTCTAGTCTTTGCTTTAGCTATGTCCAATGTTACTGTGGAAGTCCGTAGCCTAGACTTGTTTAACATAAGGCTTGTCTCTCGGGTGTGTCAAGAACGTGATGTCGAAACCGCTGTAAGCCTCCTTGTTTGTGGGTAGTTGACGCTGGTTTTGTGTGGGTGTTAAAAATTTACTCCATAGTTGAAGTGTACTAACAGGTGATTAATTTACACGGGTAAGTAAATGGTATAGTACATAGGTGATTAATGAGGTAAATAAACGGTCCTTTGGTAGGATTTCCTCTCTAACCAATTAACTGTACCGTACTGTACCATCAAGTGTATACGATATTTAAGGTACGCCCTCTATAGTCGAACGGTACAAGTAGGCAAGAAAAACAGATGCAGTACGTCATAGGTGCGTTAGTAAGAGAAGGGAACGTTTTGGGGGTGCAGTGAGGAGCCAGTGCTGTGGGAGAATTTTGCCCCCAATGGTTTATTTTGACAGGAAATGTACTCATTGATCTCATTATGTAATTTAGTCTGACATAGTGTATCTGTTTACCTGTTCTGAATATGTAGTGAAGATACATGAAACGTACTTTTGGAAGCTAAGATCGGAGGAGAAAATCGAACAAGAATGTCATTAATTTGTTTCAACCACCTAAAGCAGACACCATTTACAGACAATTTCATTATATAAATAAAAACAATATTCTAAAACCCAACTGAGAATATTAGAAAACTTTACACATCCAGCTAACCATACTTGGGCATCTCATCAGCGAATCACCAGTTATATTATAAACGTGAAGAGGAACAGTTGTGTATTTTACTTTCGTTTCTCATACATTTGTTCTTGTTTTCTATAACATTATTATAGACCTATTTGTGTAATAATTTTATATCTTATTTATATAAGAATTATACTTTTAGTCACGTATTGTATTGGCCACTTTAATGATTTACAACTTATTTATTTACTTTATTAACGAAATATTTGTGTATTAGATTGGAATTTATCGTATACTGTATTTTTCTCAACTTTTTTTATCGTTTGTTTATTTTATATATATAGTCATTTATCATTACCACATTAATGCCTTCATTATAATGTTTTATTATTCAAGTAATTATTTTGTAATTATAGATGCTATAGTAGTGTACTTAAGTGAGGATTTTAACAATATATAATTACCATTTATTGGAAGTTTAGTGTGGATGAAAGTTTCGGTTACCTGTCGAACACTTTATTGTTAATGACAAGTGCTATACTCATTTATTGTTAATGACAAGTGCTATACTCATTTATTGTTAATGACAAGTGCTATACTCATTTATTGTTAATGACAAGTGCTATACTCATTTATTGTTAATGACAAGTGCTATACTCATTTATTGTTAATGACAAGTGCTATACTCATTTATTGTTAATGACAAGTGCTATACTCACTTATTGTTAATGACAAGTGCTATACTCATTTATTGTTAATGACAAGTGCTATACTCATTTATTGTTAATGACAAGTGCTATACTCATTTATTGTTAATGACAAGTGCTATACCCCTAAGCCACGCCCCCTTTCTATGCTAAAAAGTAGCTGATTGGTCCATAGAAAGTGTTGGTTTACCTCTGCATTTATCATACTAATATGTTCATAATTTATAATTAGACCTGTTCTTTTCAATAATAATGTTAAAAATTGCGAAATAAAATGCAAATGATTTCAAGGCATTAGCACTTCAAAGAGGATGCTATTTTGTATGTGTACTATTACGAACGGTCGATGTCAAGGACAAAAGTTGCATTCGGAAAAAAAGCCTATCTATCATTTCTTTGTTTTGTAGCAAACAGAAACAAATAACACCAAACTTATAGCACAATAGACAATTACCTACAGTTTGTAAAGGCTAGATATATCGCAAATCATTGTTTAACTGAAAAAATTGATAAACATACACTCAGGGGAGCGGCCACAGGGACGGAGCGAACTGAAGTGTTGCCAACAACCTTTTACATCAAGGCGTGGCAAATCTATCATAAGGAGCCCAAATTTTAGCATGGGTTCTTGAAAGTTTTTGCATTATATATATATATATATATATATATATATATATATATATATATATATATATATTTTTTTTTTTTTTTTTTTTTTGCAGAAACTTTCACGAATCTATTTTTTTTTTATACTTGTAGCCTGAAGCATGCTAAGTTCATGCTTGCCTTTATGTCTCACGAGTTACTGGTGTAGAAGCCTGAAGAGTCAATGGTTTATGTCACCACGCTATTGGAAGCTCCAACAACTCCCTGAATACGAATTCTCAACTTTCGATTTACACCAGGTACCTACTGTACTGCAAGGTGAACAGGGACTAATGGGGGCTAGGAAATATGTCCAAACAACTTCCACCGGCCCGGGAATCGAACCCGTGACATCTTGCTTGCGAGGCAAGAGCAATACCGCTTCTACCACCATTAGTATCAATAGGGGCGCTGGTGTAAATCGAAAGTTGAGAATTCGTATTCAGGGAGTTGTTGGAGCTTCCAATAGCGTGGTGACATAAACCATTGACTCTTCAGGCTTCTACACCAGTAACTCATGAGACATAAAGGCAAGCATGAACTTAGCATGCTTCCCTGTTGGGCGCTGTAAACGCTTCTGTGCTTCATCTTACACAATGATGTAGGGGAGTGCCCGATAAAAAAAAAATAGAATGAATAAATAGACAGCAAATCGAACATTTGATATGAACCAATCAGCTCGCTTATAGAAATGAGGGCGTGGCTTGTGGGCCAAGCTAGTGTAAAGTGAGTATCGTGATTTATATAAGTTTTCACGTGATTGTGGTTGACGGGTGCTAGTGATTTATATAAGTTTTCACGTGATTGTGGTTGATGGGTGCTAGTGATTTATATAAGTTTTCACGTGTTTGTGGTTGACGGGTGCTAGTGATTTATATAAGTTTTCACGTGATTGTGGTTGATGGGTGCTAGTGATTTATATAAGTTTTCACGTGTTTGTGGTTGACGGGTGCTAGTGATTTATATAAGGTTTCACGTGATTGTGGTTGACGGGTGCTAGTATGTAACAAATTTTATGTTCCAAATTTAATGTAACATATTTTATGTAACAAATTACTCTTTCTTAATAAGGGCGGGATGAATTAGGACTCTTATTAATGGCTACTGTATTTATTGAATACTTTCTATTAGGGTTTGACAATTATACTTCTAAATAATAAACTTATCTTCTTAGCTTGCTAACCAAAGGGGTCCATGACTCACAATACATTTCGGAAAACGGATCAAACCTATTAGGTACTCACGTTATAGCCGCCATATGAGGAGGTGACACCCAGGACACAACCATACTTAACTCCTACCAAACACAGACTCCGCTTTTCAAACTCCGTCAGCCCACAAGGGACGCCACAACTTTCATGACGTCACGCCTGATAGGCTTTCTCATTGGTCTAAGACTGTCCTAAGGCCTTCATACTATTGGCTTGAAATTGGCGGGAAACTCATGACATTGTTACAAGTAATTTATGTAAGTTTTTACGTGATTGTGGTTGAAAGGTGCTAGTAATTTATGTAAGTTTTCACGTGGTTGTGGTTGACAGATGCTAGTAATAAATTCAAAATATAAATTCACATTGCTTTTTAACATAGTTTACTAATACAATACCATATTTTTTGTGACCTTTTTATGAGCAAAATATTAGATAAAATTATACTGTAACAATGTAAACTGAGGCTATAAATATTTGCTTTGTTCTGAGTGATTTTTTTTTTTAATATTCACTCGGTTGTATGATTTTTAAGAGTGTATATTGTTCCCAGAATATCGCGAGAACTGTGTCTGTAGTCATCGAAACGAAATTTAGTTTAGTCTGTCCTGAAGATGCATTACAAAATATATTTATTATATAACCCGTCATCATCAAGGTTATTAGTGCCAATTTCTACGCTACAATTACCCGATAGCGGCTCTCCATGCTGCACGCTCTCATGTCAAACCTTACAACCTCTCCTATGCCCTTCTTGGCCTACCTCTCCTCTCCTTCACATTTAGGTTAATGCACCTCTTAGACTCAATTGGTCGTATCCATTCTGTCCACTTGCCCAATCATCTCAACCTGCATCTATGCAGAATTTTGTCAATATCCTCGATACCCAGCTGCCCTCTTAGCTCATAACAGGGCCTCTTCTCTTTCAGTGTCACATTACACAGTCAACTCACCATTCTCATTTCAGCTCACTCATGCCTGCTTGTCATCCTCTTCAACTGCCCATGTCTCAGTGCCACTCAACACCTCACTTCTCACCCCAGCCACATACATTCTTTCTTTCATGCAGTAGGAAGGTCCTCTTGCTGTCAATAAAGGCAACAACTCTCTAAACTTCCTCCAACCAACTTTAACTACGGCAGGTTTCATCACTCCGTCCAACACTGATCATGTCAAACAGATAGAGGAACTCGTTGACACAGTCCAGGGACATATCCTCATTGTTGAGCTT